GAGTTAAAAAACTAGTGACCAATGAATAGCCTAGCCAGGACAACTTCCTTCTTCCGATCCTTAGGGAAACAAGACAGCCAAAGTGCAACAGAAAGTTTGATTTGGAAAAGCTTGTTACGACACTGCTCACCCCAAGTCGACTGCCAACTGGCGAGAAGCCGAGCCTTCAATACAGAACTGTAGTACATATATGGGATAGGCATAGCTATGAACATGAAAAATTCTGAGGAGTAGGAGAGATTTCATTTCTGTTTATCAACCACTGATGACATACTTCACTGCAGTTCATTGTATTATATGTTTATCATGCTTGGTTATTAGTTTAACATCTTCAAATTGTACTCTTAATTTCAGCATCTTACTGGTTTAAGTTCTTAACTTCTTACTTAGAAACCTTAAAGAATTCAATCATGGGTGAATATAATCCAAACTTAGCCTACATCAAGTAAAGATGGTCTTTGACTTCGGTTACTCTGTACATTTTTATTAATTTGATTAGAACTTGCAATATTACAAACAAGTGGAAGTTCAGCATGAAACTTGGTGCTTTTCAATCTAGTTCTTACTGATCTTGTTTAAAATTCAAATTTTGATTGAATTAAAATTCTACTTTGTGAGTTGTGTGTCACGTCATGATATACATGAGAAGGTTATGAAAGTTCAATCTCTTCCCACATAAAAATTACATCACCCACAATGAAGCACTTTTAAACTTAACCCACATATAAACTTGCATTTCAAAAGTACATAAATCATACTTACAACCAAAAATTCCTTCTTGTCCACTTTCTTATTACCATCTGTGTCAAACATGTTGAAGGCTATGTGAAAGCCCGATTGTGGTTCTACCAAAAAATAAAAATAGTGTTGAACTTCCAAAACAACTTCGATACAAAAACATGAATTACAATTCAAAAAGTTTATCTTTGCATTTTTAATACAAATGGTATAATATTAATATTAATATTGAGATATATCTAGTATAATAATACATACATTTAAGAAATGCTTTATGACATCATAAACATATGTTATAACAACTGTTACCTCTGCATAAACTAACGATGACATTATAAGCCTCTTTCACTCACTTTCTCACGTGTTTGTGAACTTTTGTTTTCAATCTTTTGTAAGATGTACAAGAAGGAAATATATGCATATCTAAGTATGCTCAGAAAGACATATAACAAACAACTGCACCTACAAATTGATAAAATCTGAGAATACAAAAAATTGGTTAGAAAATTTAAGATATTTAAACATTTTAGCAAGCAATTTCAACCATTTCTTTGTCTTGCATATGATCAATATTTTTTAGAAAACTTAGTCAATGGATAAATACTAAGCAGAAGTCAGACAGAAGTAGCACCATGTGAATAATTGTGATTGGCCAAGAGAATTCTTTGACAAAGGATATGAGCAACATAACAGAAGATTAATTTATCACATGTGAAGAGGATTTGTGAGAAGTTATAAAGACTAAAAATGATTAACAGTAAAACAAAGAGGAGGAAATGGAAAACAACCTTAACCATTGTGTCTCTCATAAAAACATACCCTGATATATTTAACATTACGTTTGTAGTTTGGGTTTTCTACCTCAACCACATCATTATTGATTATTGCAGAAGCCAGTAAGGACCAATCAAAAAGATTTGACATAGAGTGGAATGAATAACCAAAATCACCCTGGGAAGGAGACGGAAGAGGGTAGACATAAAGATACTGGTTGGTCAAATCCTGACTAAAGGCATCCACTGCCAGTCTGAGGTGAGGAACTGGAGACGAAAAAAAAAGAGGTAGTGGAAAAGGTTGGGCCCGACTGAGGTATGTGTTGAAAAACATACCTAAGTGGACAAGATATTGGGTAGGTATCAGGAAAGACTTCTGCAACTTGAAAATCCCGCCATCAAGAGCTGCTTCTGTTAATAGCAAATTAGTGTGTTGAGAAGACTCCAGTTCAGAATGAGCTAACAGGAGCCAGTCATCCAGGTAATGGTGGAAGCACAACCCACGAGCATGTATAAGTTGGGCAAAAACTTTAACCACATGACAATAGACATATGGTGCTGAAGCAAGCCCAAAACTGATACATAGTGGACAAACCAAAGGTAGCATCAAAACTGATGAGAAATTGGAATATGTAGATAAGCATTCGAGATGTCCACCTTGGTCATCCACAGACCTGGACAAAAAGCCACCAAAGTGTGAAAACGGATTCCATGGTAAAGCAGGGAAGATCCTAAAACTGATTGAGGCATGGCATATCTATTACAGGACACCAGTCCACAGTATTTCAGGGGATGACAAAAAGCCTGGGGAAGGCTGTTTGACAAGCTTGATAACTTGCTGTGATAAAAGAGTCTGCACAACCTCCTATAGACTCTGACTTGAAGTGGGATCCCGAGGTAATGAGAATGATAACTGAGAATGAGGTAGGAGATGGAGGAGAGGAAAGAAACCAGATTAAAAGTCCATCCAACAAAACCTGGATCACCCATGGATCAAGAGTGAATTTTCGCCAGAGGTGAACAAAACCAGCCAAATGTGTTCTCATTGGACTGAAAACCACCCAATAGTCACCAGAACTGTTGACAGTGATGAACCTGACATCGAGACACACAATGAAACATCTAACCCCTAGTTGTAGGAAAAGGCAAAGGATGAGATTGAGCAGGACAGGAAATGGATATGGGAGAGGGCACAGGAGCAGAGTGAGACAAACAAGCAACCAAAGAAGAAAGGGTTGAGTGTTGTCTCACAGATTCCACACATGACTCCAAGAACTCAAGAATATCTCCTAGGGCAAGCCTATGGAGAAAAGGAGCCATACGCAGGTCCCAAAGATATGAAGAAAGGAGATGAACCTTTGACAAGACAGCATCCTTACCAAGGAGATCCCAACAGCAAAGAAACCACATATGAAGGGATAGGGCTGAGGAGGGCAATCTCGGCAATGTGGAGGTAATGAGGGAACAGGTATCTTCTAAAAAACCCTCAGGGGATCAGTGGAGTGACTCAAAAAGTAGATGTATGGCAGGCAAGTACTATAGGAGGGTTGTTAGGGTAAGACTGGGAGTCAAGAAAAGGCTGATCGGCCTAATGATAAGCCAGAGCATAATGATCAAAAGCCCATGGAACATGAGGCATGCTAGCTCCAGCCATCAACTGAGAATACAAAATGTTCAGCATATACCCTGATGTCAGGTGAAAGAAGGAAAACAAAGTATTAAGTACCATGTTTTCCCTCCTTCACCAAACATCAGGGTATATGCTGAACATTTTGTTTCTTAGTGTCATGTAAGAAGGAAGGAACAGGATTATATAAAACTGGGGTAAGAAATAAAATGGCACACACACCTGAGAAATCATATCCAAAAAGGCTAAGAGAGGCCTGGCAGATTCCACAAAGGAAGCTTTGGAAGGCTTGGTATAATGAGGTGTAGAAAAAATGCTGTCATAATCCTCCTCGTCATAAACAAGTTTGGATGATACGAGAGGAACCTGAACATTGTTGGGAGAAGAATGTCAACTCATATAAAGATCAATCTTCCAATGAATGATGACTGAGACCACCCAACCTGAAGCCTGTGTAATGACATTCAAAGTATTGGGAAGAGGATCAGAAGTCGTAACATGAACTTTGGAATTCATAGAAGATTATGAATAATTTGAAAAGAAGGAAAAAATAACTAACAAAGTAAGTTATTATGGAAAAAAACTACAGAGAACCAACTGTAGCAAAATAATAATAAATGGTATAGCACTACTTCACAAAAAATAAGAAATTAATGCATGAAAAGAACAAAACGTCTGCACTAAACAACTGCTTAATCTTGAAGCAATAGTTATAATCAAATAGATAGAGTCACAAGCATCAGGAGAGTGTGTCACACTCCTATAGGTGGAGGGTTGTCGCATGATGATTTACATCCAAAGACAGAGTGAACCACGTTAATTGTGGGGTAAGTGTGAGTTCAAGGCTTGTGGCATGCTATATTTTTGCATATAGAGGGTAGCACTGAACAAGAATAGCTATAGATGTGAGAGGAGGTAAGATACCATATCGGAATTTAGCATTGTCTTCATATAAACTTACCACTGACTCTTGGATAAAGAAGTATCCACCGTGAACAATACTAACCATTAGGTGGGTTCTTGTGTCTTCTATTTTTTTGTTTTTCTTTTAGTTTTTATTATTATTACTTATTTATTTTTGTTTTCGTAAGAATGATTCAATCACCTCCTTACATCTTCAACTGGAGGGAGATGAAATCCATAAGCTGATGAGAATGTAGTGTGATGTAAGTAGTGAGGCACAAATTTGACTGGGTTCATCCGCATCCCCACCTACAGGATGTGATTCAGAGGACATCAACAGTAAGAAGAGCCACAAGATGACAAACTTTATGGGAGTTACAATTAACAAAACAAAAGGTGTCATCTACTGTGTAAGAAGAGACAAACCAGATAAATTGCTTAACTCAACCGATCAAAGTGGAAGGAGATAAATATTGAGTAATAGAGGGATTCCTTAGCATGAAAAGATTTTGACTGCCTCTAAAGGTAGATGTGCTGGTGAGATAACACCTTGCACCTCATATTGGAAAATGGAGACAACTGATGCATGAACAGCCTTATAAAGAAATTTAAGGAAGTTTGATTAGAAAAAGCATCTAATCACCCTTTCATGCAGAACAAATATAGCACTAGTCCCTGTGTAAGAGTGGTCTAATGCAAAAATATTAGAGCAACATGTCCTGCATCCAAAAAGAAGAAAATACATCTTCTTAAAATGATACCACAAGGAACAGGTTGCCAAAAGTTCAAATGGAAGACTTTTAAAAGCTCTTAGAACTAAACATAGGTTCCAGGCTGAAAGAGGAACTAGATGAGAAGAACAACAGAGCTGAAAGGCTCTGAAAAATGCCATTAGGTATGGAGAAAGAAGAATTGCCCAGGAAAAGACAGAGGGCTGTCAGCAAACTTTTTGTACCCAGCAATCACAAACTCTTAGACTACTCTTAAAGGCCAGGTAAAAACAGGAAATGAGATGAGGAAGAATCAAATGACCTAGAGTGGTAGATGGATGAGCATCAAGAAACATCAACTTGTGCTGAAAAACTGCAAAGATAGATGGCTAAGAAAAGCAAGCAAGAAAACAGTCAACGCACCAGACAAAAGCCACGCATAATGATGAAAGTGCAACATGTCGTGGTGAAAGATGGACTGAGACTAATGTAAAAGTGACCTTCAAGATGGAACAGGTAGGGGCTACTGGATCCTCAAGAGGTAGGGGAGTGTAAATCATAACTGGACTGGCCAATGGGAGGTAATGAGAAGAACCCAACAAGCTGCACTGCAAACTAGAGGCAG